CCCCCCTAGGGCCCCAAGCCACGCCCCGGCAGGTCCATCCTCCCGGGCTGGCCTGCAGCACTGGAGCCTCTTCTCTCAGGAATGATAATGACCTAAGGCTGTGAGAGTGGATCCCCAGCCACTCCCATCACCCAAAGCCCCTGTACCCCAGAAAGTGGAAACTGCCCTGAGTCCAGGCCCTAAGGACCTGCTCCCGCGGAAGGAAGCTGAGTGGGCTGTGGAAAAGGGGATGTCGTCCTAGGCTGGAGGTCTTGCTTGCCCTGGTGGAAGGCCTAGATGACCTCATTCTTCCTGAAGACACACAAGACACCCCAGCCCATCTGGCCACCCAGCCCGGGCAGATTCCCAGGGAGAACCTGAGGTCAGGTAGATGGATCCAGAGCCTCTGATAGCAAACTCCGGGGCTTTGGGAGGCGGCATCGACCCAGCAATCGAACTGAGTTCCTGCAGTTTCTACAGACATCAGCACGAGCTGGGGTGGGGCAGGGAGCCATCTGGGCCAGGGCCCTCCTTCAGGGACAGTCCCCTGTTCCTGTCCTGGCCCTGCCTCCCCTAGGCAAGGCCTGCACCTTTCTAGGTCACTTTCCCTCTGAGGCCTCCCATGGGGCTGAGGTGCGAGGACTCTAAGCCACCAAGTCCTGCGTGGTGGTGATGTGGGGTACTGCTGTCAGACCTCTCCCTCCCTGAGCCTGTGGATGCCCGGGGACACCAGGAAAGGAAGGGACAGAAGGCAGGACAGTACCTCTTAGCAGTCTAGTATCTTGGCTTGGCTAGGGAGCCAGGCTGGGTCAGAACCTCTTGCTGAGTGTGACCTAGAACAAATGATTTAACCTCTCCACATCCCAGTTGTCTCGGCTCCAAGACGAGTAGAGGAATAGGATTTTGTCATCACAGTGGGGTGGAGTGCAGTGCCTGGCACACAGAGAGTACACCATAAACACCACGGCTGCCACTGCCCTGAATCCCGAGCCTCTGTACCCCCAGGGTAACTCGCCTCTGTGCCCAGGGCAGGGCCTCTTTCCTACCTCTCTGTTCCTTGACCTGGAAGCAGTGCCTCCCTCTTCTCTTGACCTGGCTAACTGGAGCCTGCAGGGTTCAGAGGGAAGCAAGGGTGGGCACAAGGATGCCTCACCCCTCTTTCTTTGCCCCAAATTCCAACCAGAGCTGCAAAGGGCCTGCTTGGGTCCCCTCAGGGAGGCCTTTGCTCAGGGGGCCTTGGCCTCCTGTATCCACACAGCCTTCTTCAGTGTGATTGCTGGGTGCCTGGCCAGGACAGCAGCACAGCCCGGGAGCCCAGCCATGCCCTGCCAGAAGGCAACCCAGGTCCAAGCTCACCGCACTCCAGGCACTGGTCCCCAGGACTGTGTGAAGGACTGGTGTGGATGGGGTTCTGTTTGAGAATGGGGCTGAATGCTCTGTCTGGGGCCTACACCACACCTGGAATAGGCCTATGGCGGGCTCGGGCTCCCCAGGCACTGCTGTTCAGGAACTCCTGCCAAGCATTGTTTCCTGCTGGGGCCTGGTGCTCGGGTCAGCAGGCATCTCTACCATCCTCCCTGGGGAAGGCTGCCTCCTTCAGCACCTTCTAAATTTAGGGCTGGGGCTCTGTGACTCATTCCTGGATCTGCCTTGCTCCCCTCCTCCAGGAGTATGCTCCCACGGTATTTTTATCCTCTGCTGCCTCAGACTGATTAATAAGGCCCCAGAATTCCACGGCAGCCACACACACTGAGGAGATCCCCGATTCCACTCACCCCAGGTCGGCTCTGGGCTTCTCTCTGTCCTGGTCCTATCTGCCCTGCTCACCGCTCCACCTTCCAGCTGTTCCCCACCCTAGCCGGAGCCCACTGCCAAGCGGGACCACGGCAGCGTGGGGGAGGAGAGAGAGTGGGTGTGATGTGTGTTTGGTGGTGTCGTGATGCTCATGCAGGTGTGTGTGTGTGTGAAGTCTGACTGTAAGTGCAGCCTGAGGAAGAAGCCCTGGGAAGCGGAGCTGGCCTCTCCAAAGCATACCGTTTGCGGCTCAGCAAGGCTGCTCTGTGTCTTCGGAGGCTCCATTTCTAGGAAACGGGCTACGACAGAGTCAAATGCATGCTGTCCATGCCGAGGAGAAAGCAACTTCTTCCAAAGCTGACCACTGAGACCTTAAGGGTTACCATGACCGGTGTGCCCTGCACGGAGAAGGAAATTGGCAGCTAGCACCGTTACCCTCCAAAACACTTGAAAAGGTGGGTATCCAGACTTTCTCCCTCCAAAATCAAGATCTGATGCCCACCCTGTCATGAGGTTATAAATACAAGTGGTTTGGGACTGTGGCCCAAGACTGTCTTGTACAAGCATCCACTAGACAGAACAGCAGCGGCCAGAGACAGTCCCTCTTGCTGGTGACCAGCCATGCCTCGAGACCTGTCTGAGCACCACCCTGAAGGGAACGTCTGCCACACCAACTTGAATTTTTTTCTACAGATGTGCAGTGTTTGTTTCTTTAGCACTGAGAGCACATATGATGTATTTCACTTTCAGTTCCTCTCTTGCTAGTTCTTGGTTGTATTTCCCTACTCCCCCCGCCCCCCTACACACACACTCTCTTTTTTTTTAAACCTGAAAGTGTGTGTGTGTGTGTGTGCTATGATACTATTCATTCGGAAATTGCTCTCCTCTGTTTGGCTTGTCGTTTGATTTAGATGAAAAGAGTCTGCCCTCTTTTTTAGTGAGGTTGACTTGTCACCAGATCACCTTTATGGTCCAGCTGACAGGAGCCAAGTCCTGCTCCCTCGGATTGGCTGCTAGGCAGAGCCCCTGCTTAAATTCAGAAGGCTGGAGTCAGAACCCCACTTGACTCTGGGGTTCTTCCCTTGGCCTCTCTGGGTTCCTCTTTCTTCTGTAAGAGGTTCAAGCCAGACTTCTATAAGGGAGCTTTGGATCAGAGTTGAAATTACCACTGGGCCAGGCGTCCAGCTTCATACACGGTGGGCCAGGAGTGGGGTATGTGATGTTGGGCTCTGTCTCCCCCCAAGGCCTCCACCCCTCTTCCCCCCAGTCCCTGCTCCATTCAAGAGAAATACAAGTCAGAAACTACTGTCAGCTTTCATGGACTTCTGCCCTGCAGGGAGGATGGGTCAAACATAAACCCACGCCCTAAAGGGGCTGCAAAGAGCTCAGGGTCTGGTTCCGGTCTGACTGCCAAAGCGGAAATGTGTTAGCTTTGGGTAAGAACGATCTTGACTCCTGGCCTCAGATTGTAGAGGAGGGAATCGTGTGTATGAGAGGTGTCCACACTTGGGACTCTCTTCCCTGCCATGGTCCAAGGGCCAGGGGAAGAGATGGGACATGGGTACCCTGTCCCCGACTTCCAGAAATGTAGGCACGTAGGGCATGGCGAGGAGGCATCTGGGAGACGGGCAGACCTGGGTCACTGCATCTCTGCACTCCCTCACTCAACTTTGTCACAAGTAACAACAGCGGCTAATGTTCACGGCGCCTTAGCGGCTGCCTGTGCCGCTCTGTGCACCCGACAGGTCTTAACTCATTTAATTCACAGTTAAACCCCAAGACAGCCCTGGATACCACCCCACTTTATAGGCCATTTGAGACTCAGAGAGGGGCAATGACTCAGCCAGGGTCAAAGGGGTAAGTCCCAGGGAAGGCAGTCTAAAAGCCAGGTCCGACCACAATCCTGCCTCGCTTGGTACCCCAAGGTAGCTCTTCTGAGTATACATTAGACACTTAATAAATGTTTGATGAAGATGCTCACTCACTGCCATGTAATGGAAAGATTCCTGTCCTAGTCCAGTCTATCACAACTCCTCGTGTGTCCTTAAGAGAGTCCTTTTCCTTCTGTAGCCTCAGTTTCTCCTGAGCTGAAAAACAGAAATGGTAAGTGAAGGCCCAGAGAGGTTGGGGAGAAGCTTGGGTTTCTTTTTCTATAAATACCTGCTTTTCTTTTCTTCTTC